ATACGCCCCAAACACGCTTTATAGATAGGTTTAAAAGATCTGTTAAAGTCAATTTTATGTCCTGTCTCTATAATACTTTTCGCAATAGAAGAGCTAGGTCTCCTGTTCTCACCGTTAATAGGTTCTGAAGATTCCATTTGTTTCTGGAGCCATTTAGGAATATGCTCTGAAGCCCTTACTTGCAGAGATCGATGAGTCCTCCCTATGTATGTGTGTCCACACGTACATCCAAATTGGTAAATACAGTGGGATGTGACGTCATTTTTCGCATGTTTGAAGGGCTTAGATAGATATATTGACTTTAAATTCTCTATTATTATGATATTGGCTGCATAAAAAGTCTTTTTTTTGACAGCAGCGTTCAGTCTTTGTCTAGTTATCAAGCTTTTGATAAAGTTGAACCACTGATTTAATCAATTTTAAATACATGATCTACTCATATATTGACCTGTTTGACCTTAAAATGTAATAAATAGGTCACTTCAAGGTAAGTTGCTTAGGTTACAGTGTGAATGAATGACCTTTGTTACTGATGTAATGTATAACAAGTGAATACATAACTCATATACGAATAGGCTGATATCAGTAGAAGTGTACATGAACTACTGGAAACAATTATTTTTTATTTTTTTTTATTTTTTATTACAGCTTGACGCCACACCGTATTTTCAGTACAAGTATGGAATTTTCAGCATGTGATATCGGTAGCCCAATTTTGCAGGCCGACCATAGATACCGGGTGTGCGTCGGCAGGGGATCGAACCCCGGACCATGTGAATGGTCGGCGAGAGTCCTAACCACTGTGCCACCGACGCTCAAATAAAGGGAGGACCGTGAGGCTCCCACTGACAAAAACTACACACCTGAGCGCACCCGATTAGGGTCCGTCGCGAGTTTCAACCCACCGAGGTGCAATGGTGAGCCTCCACCCGGGGTCAGAGCATTCTTGATCACCCTGAACCCGGCGCTCGAGGTCTTCATTCACACATATTATAGGTAGGATATGGAAATATTGAAACTATAATAAACAAAAGAAAAAAATGTGCGTCGGTGTCATAGCGGTTAGGACGCTCGCCGACCATGCACATGGTCCGGGGTTCGAATCCCGGCCGACGCACTCCTTTACCTCGCTAAGCCAGAAATAAAAGCTGGTAAAGAGGAAAGGTTGGGCATGAGGCTAGCAACCCCATCCTGTAAAAACAAACACCGCTACAGAAACTTCAAGCTTCTAGCTTGAAGCCCTATGTTCCACTGGAAACGTGAAGGAATAAAAAAATAATAATAAACAAAATGACTTAGTTTTCAAAGGGCACAGATAAAGGTAAGAGAGAAAACAATGCGAAGGAACTAAAATGAACGAAAATGTATCAGGAGAATGATAAAATATTTAAAAGATCTACAAGTTCATCACATTAAGAGTGAATGCGTCTCTGCTAGTGAGAACAAATTTAAGCTCTGTCATCAATACTCCGAGTCATTTATTCTTAGTGTCTAGATGACTCTAACCAGACAGCCAACATCTCCCTATATGGCTGAAACTGAAAAGTCAAAAATTTCAGGAATTAATGTCATGTTTTAATAAGACCCCCCCCCTCCTCAACTCTTTTCCATCCTAATTCCTGTCAGTAAAATCACCATAAATATTTCCACCGTGAATATCTTGTGAATTAGATACACCATATTCAACAGATACTGTCTGTCTGTCTGTCTGATTCAACATAGAACTTGGCACCGAAGTGCAGCAGTTCGAGTTGCCACGTTCCAAATAGCACACAAAGGTAGACAAGAAAATGAGTGAAGAGAATCAATAGAGTTTTGACAAGTATAAGAGTGAAACAGAATGAGTAATGGTAGAAAGGAATATGAAAGATTACAGAGACTGAATACATCTGCGCCATTGACAACGATTTTGAGCCATGTCACCTATTGTCTCCAGCCATTGATTCTTAGAGTGTGAAGCAAATGAGCATGGGAAGTTGCATCAACCCCAAAAGACTGGGTGCACAGATACAAAAAGGCTCGTGTGCGACCTGCCAACTTGCGTCATTTCCAGCGTAGACATGATACCCGGTATCAATCGAAAGACACGTGTGCTGTGCACCGGTTCGCTGCATCCTTCTTTACGACTGTAAACATACCAATTGAAAGTGAAAGATGTGTGGGATACTACTAGCTTTCTCTGACCACAGATGTTTGCGTTCTCTCCCCGCCCCCCCCCCCCCCGCGTTAAGTGGTACAATATGCTGAGTAAAGCTGAAGTAAGGCATAGAGTATTAGGTAGGGAGGGTGAGTCAATCAATCAGGTTTTAAAAAATTACATCAATTGAGATGGTTAGGACACATATGGCACACTCTGAGCCATAGCATTCCTTGACAAGCAATATTAGTAATAAACCAGATTGGGAAAGAGTTATGGGTAGTCAAACGAAAACCTTGAATTAGATCATGAAGTCCTTGACAGTTTCGTTTGAGCCAGCAACATAGAAAGGTGTAAACTACCTGGTTGGAGGGCCGTCGAAACACTAAGAACTGATAACTGGAGACTATTGGTGATACTGATCAAAGCTGTTCTCAGTGGAGCAGATACATTCACCCTCTGTAATTCCCTAGACCGTCCGTCACCTTTTCTCCACGTTACTATTCTTTCTGTGCAAAGTTCTGCTTTGAAACTCCTCAGTCAGTCAGATAAAGAGTCGAGGATTCGCAACAAGTTGAAACACTAGAGGAGTACCACAGATTTGTTTCTTCACTGGTTGTATTACCTATGGTATACCATCTTCTAAAACCGAAAGAATGACACAGGTCAGGTTACCAGTTAGTATTATCAGCTCTCTAACAGTAAGTGAAGCGAATAGCCCGTTAACGAATAAGTCAGTTCTAACTTACTCACTTACAGCTAACTAATGATTAGGACTGTTAAGAACAAAAGAAGTCATTAACTAGCAAACTTCCTCGAAATGCTTAAGCCGAAAATGAATGCATACGTTAAGCAGTATTCTTCAACCTGTAACACTAAATTTAATACCATAGAGCGAGCACCTTTAGATTTTATCTGCCACACATATCGTTAGAATATCCATTAATACAGTTATTTATCATACATTTATTCCCCCTTAATGAACTTGAATAGAGCGAGAAGAACAGTTTTTCCGGAATGAAATGGTACCACCATCGGTTATTTCGTTGGCTCCTTATCAGCTGCTTGCTTACAGTCCAAAGTCATTATTAAGTAGTATATCTACAGAAACAATTTTAACATACTTGCACAGAGTTCATTTTTAAACAAAAAACAATCAATCAATATATGCATTCAGTAATTATATATACATAATAATAAGCACTTAATCCCAAACAATAATGATCATACACAATGGAAATTTTCGGCATTACGTATCAGATGAAGGAGAGGTGAAAATATCGAGTTACTAGGTTGGCGAAGAAAGACTGATAACTACCTTTTTTTTCTGAACGCATAAATCAGGCTTCATGCGCTTGATGGAGATGGCTTTAGCGAACATGGGAATAATTGAATTCTTTAGTCTATTGATAATTTTGAACGATCATCTTGCGACGTCCACTTCCTGATCCGTGTCAAAGAGATGCCTGGCGACGGCACTATCTTCAAAGCATTTGTTTCCTTTAGACATAAGCTTTTTCGTACAAGTTCAGAAAATCCTAGATATGCTCTTTCATTACTGTTCGGAATAGTGTTCAATATTATATTTATATTACTGTATGCATATATTGATCGATTGATTGATTTTTCAAAAGAATAGACACGGAACAAAGAGTACTCTTTACGATAAATCTTCATCATTAGGTTCTACAATTATATATACATTATAATGAATGAATGAATTAGTCTTATGAACGACATTAATGTTTAAATAACATCAAATCAATAATATCGATAAATTACAGCTGAACAGCATCAACATAAAATAAACTGAATGTCAGAAGAATTAGGAAAGGTAATAGTACAAATTCATGAGTTTATAGTCTCTACTGAGGGCCAGGGCAGTAGTAGGGGCTGGACTTGTTTCTTTTGGATACAGAGCACTGGTTGTTTGAGGCGAATTGCAATAGCCTCTGCTGTTTGGAGCATGCGGTGCTTCGACGATTTTGGTAGTTTGTTAGGCACCCGGTATATTATAGAGAAGGATTCTTCTACGCTGGCTTTGTGACCGGTTTGTACCAGATGGTCTAATATCGAGCTGTTAATAGTTTTAACTACACCTTTACTTAGCCATAGTGGGATATGTTCTCGAGCACGAAAAATCAAGTTCCTAGAGCAACGGCCAACATAACTCGCTCCACAAGCGCAGTTGAATTGATAAATACAATTTGAAGTGGCTAGTCTAGGTACTTCATCTTTCAGTCGAGGTAGCACCATCGGTCGTGTAGAGAATAATACGTGTAGTTCGCCAGCATTAAAAGTTCTTTGAACTGATTTTCTTAATTTCTTCGTAATTATCTCGCTTGGTATATCGCCTATGAATTGTAGTCGTATATAAAGTGGCTTCTTGTTTACAGATAGTGGGTAGTCCTTTTCGGCTTTCTTTGTCATATGTTTCTTGATAAATTTGTCAGGATAACCATTTTCGATTAAAGTATAATATACGATGCTTAATTCATCTTTAATTACTTCTTCTGAGCATATAGCTCTAACTCTGTGGTTTAAAAATGAACTCTGTGCAAGTATACTAAAATTGTTTCTGTAGATATACTTAATAATGAATGACTTTGGGCTGTAAGCAAGCAGATGATGAGAAGCCAACGAAATAAACACTGATGGTAGCATTTTATTCTGCACAAACTGTTGTTCTTGCTTTATTCAAATACAGTTATTTATCAAAATATAAAAGATTTCACTATCACACTCATAAAAGCAACTGTACAACTAGCTAGCTAGCTAGTTTAGGAAGCAAACTCAAAAACAAAAAACAAAAAATCAAGGCTAGAAAAATGACAAAACAAAGCCATAATTATGAACTACATACCTGTAAAGAATCATTGCCACCACCGCTATCAAGATCACTATTCACACGAATAGGTCTATTCATAAAACCATTTGGTAGATCGAAATCACTACCCGATATCGATGACTCGTCGACAACATTCACTAGACTATTCAAGCTAGCTGAAGAGGCTTGGAATACTTCACTGCTATTTGGTATTGATAAACTATGCGAGGTATTTGTAAAAGTTCCTGGTGAATGCAGTTGACGAGAATGACGAGACGGATGATGATTATAATGATGATGATGATCACGATCACGATGATCACGAGAATTTTCAACTAAAGATACTGGAGAATCATTTTGTTTTGCGTCAAGCATGGATGTTGCATCGAAGAATTCATCACCTTCTTCATCAAGTATTCTCTCAGATGAATGTAGGCTTTGTGGAGTTGCTAAAAGTAAAAAAAATATGCACAGGAGATGGAAGATAATATATATATATATATATGCACACAAAAAGAATTGACGTAAAGGTGTGAAAATGAGATAAATTCATCTAACTGTACCATATTGATATTGAAATCTTTTCAGTGTTTTTACTTTCACGAGGTGGACATTGATTGATTCAATGGTAACATGGAGGACGGAGAGAAGGAAATGCAAGCTTATGAAGCCAGATAAAAGAAAATGCAGAGAGATCAGGGTGAAATGAAGATGTGCTGTTGTAGCCCAATGTTCCACTAGGAACCTAACGGAGTAATAATATATCATGGAAAATAATCCGATGCTCACTAGTGAGTGGCTATAGGACGAAGTTGCCAGCACTTCTATTGAGAAGAATTGACTGGTCAGTGGGTTCCGTCAGGCGGGGAGTGAGGATTAATACTCGCCGATGACACTGGCTGGCGGTCACGCTAAAAGCAGGAATTGGTAGAAGTTTGAATTCATCGGTCAGTGGATTCCGTCCCAAGTGCTGTATGGTCTACTAGTAAGCCTTGTACCTGGAAGGTCCTGTTTTTGAACCCTGCTGCGTGCATACTGGTGGAGTTTATTAACCTAGGATGAAACATATGTCCAGTAATCCTTTGTTTTTTAATGGTTCTCTGAATGACATCAATCTGTGACAAATCTACGTCCCAATAATACTACTGATATTAATTAAAAGTAGACCTTGAGCGGTGGAGCTCACATAATCAGTGCTAATTAGATTCTTTATCAGAATACTGACACTTAGCATAAGAGAGACCTTTTCCTATTCTAATTCTAAAATGAAGAGGTAGGCAATCGACTATAAGAGAGAGAGAGAGGGAGAAACAAAAAGGAGGCGTTCAGTTAATACATCTTTACAGCGACTCCGTTCTCAAAAGATGTATTACTGACTGATTGGTTTCAACATAGAACTATGCACAAATGTGCAGCAGTTGGAATTGCCACTCTCCCTCCATGTAGTACACAGAGCAAGAGAAGAGAGATAGAGAGACTCAAAAGAAAGACAATAAATACAATTATGAGGCAAAAAGAATAGTAATATGGAGGAACAGTACATTTTTATTGGATATTATAAATCACAGAGAGTGAATCCATCTGATAACGATTTTGAGCCATATCATCAACTGTCGCAAGCCATTAGTTTTTATTATATCGAGGACCCCAACTATAGGAAGTCTACACCTCCCTACGTGACTGGCTGACTGGCTTAAACTATTGTGGATTTCATTGACTGATGAGGACATGTTTTCGTTTGACCACCACTGGCTCTTTTCCAACCTGATCCATCCCACGTCAGCTAGCATTGCCTGTCGATCGAGGAAGGCGATGGTCAGGCTAAGAATGAGTAACACATGCCCTAACCATCTCAATCGATATAACTTCACAACCTCTTCGATTGATTTCCCCTCCCACCTACCTAGCACTCAACGCCTAAGCTCGATATTGCTCATCCTATTATACCACAGGAGATAGAACGCAGACACTTATGATCAAAAACAGCTAGCCACCCTTTTCATGCCTCCCACTTTCAATGGCCATGTCTCACAGCCATCCAAGAGGACGGAGCTAACTGTTGAGCAGTACACATGCCCTTTGGTCGCGACAGCCGGATATCACGTCTACTAAACCAGAGATGGCGTAAGTTGGCATATGCTAAACGAGCCTTCTATATCCGTAGTGAGATTTCGTCAGCGACCGGCCTGTTGGGTCTGATGCAACTGTGGGGCTCGAACCAGGGAACTGCGAGTTACAAGCCAAACTCGTAGACCATCGTCAACCACTGAGACTTGATCCACGAAGCAGAGAGACCCAAATAATACAGGATTACGAATATAAGTGCGTAATCAGTAAAGCAGTTTTTCTATTACAAAATACATATGTGATCAGGATGGGTATAGAAACAGAGACTGAAATAACACCTTATTACTGGAGATGATAACATAGATACAGGGGGGGGGAATTAAACATTGACTAGATCTACACTGGATGAAGAGCTTTTTGAATAAGCTTCTTTTGAACACATAACTCCAGTATCTCAATGCATATAGCGAAGCCTTCTAGGGTACGACGAAGACGGAAACATACTGCCTTTATTAGATTCCTATTTATTTGTATATATATATCTCTGAGTATATGTTTTTATAAAAATTCTAAAAGGTGAAGTATTAATATTTGGGAGTTTGTCCTTTAAATTGCTTAACTGTTAGTTAACTATTGAGGATGAAATTGCTAAGATGGTATTATTTTTGTGAACTACTGGATTTATGAATGATGAAGATGATGATAATAATAATAACTGCAACAACATTCACTTATCGATATAACTAAACACACACACGCACACACAAACAATCACACATTAACATACGTTTTATAGTATGTTTGCGTGTGTGTGTGTGTGGCATAAAGTACATAAATCGAAAGATAAATTAAACTTTTGCTGTCTTAAAGAAAATAAAAAAGGTCATTAGAAGAGAAACCAATGAGAGGAGTGTTATCCAACCTAATCTTATCTAATCTAATTAACTAATTAATTATGAGAATAAAAAATATTTCTGTGCAGACTTTATTTACTCTCTCTCTCTCTCTCTCTCTCTGCATATAAATATATATGAGAATGAAAAGAATTTAAGAAAATATATCAAGAAAAAAATAATAAATACTAAGCATTGCCATAGATGAATTTACACTTAACCAACTGATGTGCTTTTTTCATCATTTTGCCTTAAATATTGATTTTGAAGACTAACCAAGACTAAAGGATCTGCAATGAGTAGTGTTCTCTGAGCTGGTTGGTTTAGTTGCGGAGCTTTCGTCGTCCATCCTTCTGGACAACATCCCCTTTCAGCGCAATTTTGGCATAAAGTGAGCTGATTTAAATTTTTTTCCATGAGTGATAGAATTGCGTCTCCCGGTAACCATCTTTACATATGTATTGATCATTTTTTATTGACTTGGATTTTAAACTTTCTGGTCACGTGATTTACTTTTTATTAGTTGGTATATTTGGTCTATATTAACATGTTTGTTAATTCCTAGAAGCCGGGTACTCAAACGAATATGCAATTAACAAACATGTTAATATAGATCAAATATTTTGATTGGACACTAGTAACTAGTATGACGTGTCTAGTCCTTTCTTTGGTGCAGACTGAATTGAATTCTACCAGTCAGGTTTGCAATGTGGCTACCGTTTTAGGTAGCTCACCATCACGGTGCACATTGATTTGATGATATTAGATAGTTGGAGGCAATCGGCAGGGTTCGAATCTCAGAAGGGACATGAGTTCCTCCAAGGTTGCAGATACACCTTGCTGACTGGTGAGTGCCAACTAGCACGAAACCTAGGTCCAAGGCTTCCTGTCGATTACCTCCAACAATCTAATATCATCAAATAGACCAAATAATAAAAAGTGAATCATGTGACTAGAAAGTTTAAAATCCAAGTCAATAAAAAATGATCAGTACATATGTAAAGATGGTTACCGGGAGACGCAATTCTATCACTCATGGAAAAAATTTAAATCAGTTCACTTTATGCCAAAATTGCGCTGAAAGGGGATGTTGTCCAGAAGGATGGACGACGAAAGCTCCGCAACTAAACCAACCAGCTCAGAGAACACTACTAATTGCAAATCATCCACCTGAGCTACAAATCTTCTCTACTATTTCAATAAAGGATCTCTTGAAAAACCTAGAGGTAACATCGTGCGTCGGTGGTTCAGAGGTAGAATACCCACCAATTATGCACACAGGTGGTTTGGGGTTCGATTCCTGGCCAACGCACTACTTCTCTACCTTCCACCCCCCTTAGTCGGTTGTATGTCAGACATGAGGTCAGCAACCCCAACCCACAAAAAATAAACACCACTGATATTGAAACTTCAATAGACCCCAAGCGTCAAGCCCTATGTTCCACTTGAGAACGCAAAGGAATAGAAAAAAAAGCAAATTATAGTAAATAGCTAGTGACTGTCCATACTCCAGGGCTATGTGGTGGTCTTACTTACTTATTCTGTAAGGATGCTGATCAATGATCTCTGCTAACTACACCCATTTTAGTAGGTAGGTGAGAACGAGATTCATAGACGAACATAAAGAAGAATTCTGATTTATTTCAGTTTTTGAAGCTTCCATTGTTTGATTTCTCTTGACTAAAATGCTTGACAGTCTGAAAGCTTATTGACTGGATATAGAACAATAGGAAATTCAAAAATTTCAATCAATAACAGGTGATACCTACTGCATAAAGAGGTGCCTCTCGAGACTTTATAAATAGCCTAGCGAATATCGCTCGAGTGTCCGAAACGATGAGTGCCATGTTCAAGTTTCAGTGAGAAGACCATCATTCAGTGAGATCCAGGTACATCAAGGTGGTGAGTCCTGAAGGGGACGGAATGCAATGGGCTACTACTGATCAATGTAATAACGTAATTTCACTTAATACAAACTTTTGTGTTTTCTCGCAACAGATATCCACCGCTATTGGCGGTGGTCAAACCACAACATGGCACCAGTCAATGAAATCCACAACAGTTAGTTTAACCAGCCATGTAGAGAGTTGTAGACTTCCTAACTGGTTGGGGTCCTGCTGATAGTAAAAACCAATGAAGACTGGAGACAATCGGTGATATGGCTCAAAATCGTTCTCAATGGCAGGCGCAGATACATCCACTCCTTGTGACACATAATACCCAATGAAACTATATTGTTCTTCGTTATTACTATTCCTTTTGTCTCATATCCCTGTCTACTGTCTCTATTTTGCATTTCTTCTACTTTCTTCTCTTGATTTGTGTGCTACATGGAGGGAGTGTGGCGACTTGAACTGCTGCACATCGGTGCAAAGTTCTATGTCGAAAACAGACAGACAGTATAAAGAGTACAAAGATATTATGCTAGTACGGATAAGCCTGTCCGTTAGCCGTGAAGTCATGATTTCTGTATGTTTTGATTCGTTTAC